CACTGAATTCCCAGCCTCTCTGTGTTTCTCGTGTGAAACGTATGGCCGTGGTTGGAGGAGTGTGGCCCGGAAACCTGGAACTGGGACGTCTGCTCGGCCTCAGTCGAAGCTGAGAGTCGGGATGCCATCAGCCCCTCTGAGCACCCCCATAGTGGTTCAAGTAGCTGCCCCGTGTCTAAGGGACTGGTGTCCCATCGCTAGAGGAATGTGTCATTATCTCGTGTGGGCTTGATCCCTTGTGATGCAATTCATGTTGTCCTTGAGATCCTGTGCAACATCCCGCTTGCCATTCAGCCCATACGTAGGGTGCAGTCACAGTATGCCCCACGGCTAAGTCTGAACCGTGAGGAAATAGCTCACGTGTCAATAAAAATTCCCAGATGTAACTGGTATCTAACAGATTAATCCTATTTGAACATTTGTGGGAATGGATTCTCAGGCTGCCAGGCTAAGGAGGTGAGCTAAGGCACTCACTGGGGTAGATTCACTGATAGGGATGTACTTACTAAATGTTACTGAAGCAATGTGGAGCACTTGTAGCTGGTAAGAAATACAGGCCCGTGCTTGTTTGGTTGACTGAACTTGGACTCACTGGTGGCCTGTAGTTGATCGGTTTCAATGCCAGGACTCTCTTGGCATGAGGTGGAGAAGGGAATCTAAAGTGTTCCGAGAAAAAGAGAAAAAAACCCCAAGTGTTAGAGAGAGAACAACTTGGGAAGTGTTAGAGAGAGAAGATCACGTTGGATCTGAACACTCCACACCCTATGTTCCACAGGATGGTCCAGAAGCAGCTCCTTTCCGTGAAGCTTTGAGAGAACCATTAGAGTAGGAACAGTTGCATCTTAGAAAAGCTCTGGAAAGATCACCATGGGGGCCCCTGGCTGGCTCAGTTGATAAAGAATGCAACTGTTGACCTCTGGGTAGTTAGTTTACCACATTGGGTGTGGAGCCTCGTTAAAAAAAAAAAAAAAAAAAATCAGGCGCCTGGATAGCCCAGTCGGTTAAGTATCCGACACTTGATTTTGGCTTAGGTCAGGATCTTCAAGGTTCGTACATTCGAGCCCTGCATTGGGTTCCGTGCTGACAGTGCAGAGCCTACTTGAGATTCTCTCTTTCTCTGTCTGGCCCTCCCCTGTGTTCTCTCTTCTCTCTTAAAAATAAACATTTTTTAGAAAAGAAAAAAGAAAATGAATGAAATAAAACAGGCCAAGTGCTACAGCATGTTTGATATATAGAACTCTAAATGCTCCAGGTATGGGAGCCAAAAATCTGGCTTGAGCTGCTCCAGTGGAGTCACAGACTCTCACCCAGTTTCGAGACCCAGAGTCCCTTCATGGACCGGGAGGTGGGTCCCCTGAGACACACACTGCACCATTGCTCCAGTGGAAACCACAAAGGGATCTGCAGGCCTGTACTCAAGTGACAGGTTGTCCCGGAGAACAGGTGTGCTTGAGCAAGCAGGCCTCCCTCCTTGGCAGGCCACACCTATCAAGTGACGTGGGAAAGGCTTTGTTACCTTTCTCCTGTCCCCACCTCCAGAAGTGTGGACAGTTCTGGGATTTACTGAGATCGCTGGTAACTCAAGCACTAACTCTGCCCACCTCTCTTGGATCCTATTCTTGTTGGGGGGTTGGTCGGCTTATTGTGAACCATCTCAGGGGCACACTTTCGATGTGCTGGAACACAGTGGGCAGGGAAAGGAGTGTGTTGAGGAGGCGTGGGGGTGTGCCACAATCTGGGCCCTGGGAGGACGGAAGCGTCCAGAACTGCACCGCAAGGCTGCCCTCAAAGGCTAGGAGTGGGGCACAGCCGGAGAAGGAATGACAGTGCTCCTTTGCCACCCTTGGTGCGGTTGTTGCCTCTGTCTCCAAGTCACCCTGGGGAGCATAACGTCTCTTTTCTCTGCCTGGTCAGGGTGGGCCCAAAGGTGTACACGGGGTCTGCCATGCCCTGGATCATGAGGGAGGCTTCTTCTTGCCCTTTCTCCAGCGAGATGGCGCAGCTCTGCCACTTGTCTTCGACGAACCGGGAAACTGTGCATGGCTTACAGCAAAGGCAGCTCCAGAATCTTCGGTTAATGCGGGGGGCGGGGTGGTGGTGCGGGGGCGGGGCGAGCCTGCCGCTCCGCCGACAAAGGGACGTGGACCTAGGCTCCAGCACAGCATGTGCCATGGGGTCCTGGCGCTCAGAGGGAGGCTCGGGGGGGGGGCGTATCCCAGCCCCGTGACCCCCGGGAACACGCAAGCAGCCACAGTAAGCCACACTCAGAGGTACTTTCCTTCTTCCAACCCCAGGAGTATATGGCGTTCATAGTTACGGCAAAGCCTCGGGGAAGAGTTCTACACCCAAGATGGCCGGCCGGAAACAGGCTTCTCGCGCCGATGTGGCGAGGCCAGATTGGCTAGCTGGCCGCCCGCATTTGAACGCTCAGCTGTGTCCCCGTTCAGCTCTGGAGCTGAGCCCCGCCCGCACGCAGGCGCACAAAACTGCTGCATCTATGTTCCGGAAGTGTGACAGAGCGTCCACCCTCTCTGGCCAGGACTCTATGGTTCCTATGCGCGAAGATCGGCCGCCTATATAAGGCATGCGCAGGCGTGGGAGCGCCTCTTTTCCTTCGGCGTGGTGAGTAGTCGTGGTTCTGGAGTTGTGCGTTGTCCTTGCTGGTTCTGTGTCCCGGTGTGAGGCCTGTCCGCATCTTCTGTTCCGACTTTGTCTGTTTCGTTGCAGCCACTGAAGATCTTGGTGTCGCCATGGGCCGCCGCCCCGCCCGGTGGTGAGTGCCAAATACAATTTCGCTGATGTGAAAAATGGAGGGAGAACTGTATTTCAACGCTAAAATTAACCGTGGGGTGGGGCCTCCGGGGCACCTTTTCTATATTGCGAACGGACTCCACGTTTTTACTGATATTCCGGGTCGCTTGGGGACTTCGTTTACACTGTTTCTTTTAAAGTTCAGGCCTTTCTTAAGCGTTTCTTCTGTTTTGTTGGGGTGCCAGATTTACCTTGGCCTGCATGTGTTCCGCCACTTACGGGCTGAAATCGACGGCCGCCTTACATCTAGTCTCCGTCCTGGAAATTAGCCACCTTTTCAGACTCGATACCCTCTCAGGGCCTTTGTGTGCCATCCCCATCTTATTTCCGGGCGACATGCCCGTTCGGCCTCGGTCGCCAAGGGCCGCCCTGACCAGAGGGCTCAGCCACCTCGTGTGCCCTGCAGGGGGCGTCAGAATCTTTTCCCATGTGGTTTCCAAGGCGGATTTATTGCCACGTGCCCAAAAATCAATGGCATGAATTATGTTACTAATTAGCAAGAAATTTGCAGTGCCTTTGAGATGTTTCTCTTATTTAACTGGAGAAGTGCCTTTCCACCTGTTGACCTTATAGGAAGCATGGAACCATAATAATACGGGGTTGAGGGAGATTTTTTGCTTCTATGTTTTCTGTATGAGTGTTCTCTAATTTTTGGTCACTTTGTTTTGACCGTGTTTTGCTTAGAGCCAAATTCCAGGAGTGGAGGCAGCTAGAGATTGAGATGTTGCCCCCGGTCCCCATTCCCTGCCCTCCTTTGGTCTTAATTTAAGGGAGTTCTCAAAGTGCTTATTGGGTTCAGTTGTGAACTATAAACTTATTTCTCCCCTCCCCACAGTTACCGGTATTGTAAGAACAAGCCGTATCCAAAGTCTCGTTTCTGCAGAGGTGTCCCTGGTAAGCAGCGGGAGAGTTCCCAAACTGGTTTGGCTGCACTGACTCAGTTGCCTCCGGTGCCCCTCCCCCACATACTTATCTCCATATTTTTCAGATGCCAAGATCCGAATTTTTGACCTGGGGCGTAAGAAGGCAAAAGTGGATGAGTTCCCACTGTGTGGCCACATGGTGTCAGATGAATACGAGCAGCTCTCCTCTGAAGGTGAGGCCGGATTCCTTGTTAATCCCATCCTTCTAACTGCTCCCCTCCCCCACCAGACCCAGAACAAACTGCACCAGATTCACCATTTAATCAAGAGTATCTGATGGCGAGCCTTTTTATGAAGTTCACCCAGTCGATACAGATGTACACTGAGGGCCAGGGACAGTTACAGTAAGTGGCTCTGTCCTATCTTGTCTCACTGCTGCCTCCCACCTGCCCCCAACCTAGCCCTGGAGGCTGCCCGAATTTGTGCCAACAAGTACATGGTGAAAAGCTGTGGCAAAGATGGTTTTCACATCCGGGTGCGGCTCCACCCTTTCCATGTCATCCGTATCAACAAGATGTTGTCCTGTGCTGGAGCTGACAGGTGAGCTGGGTTCTGGGTGTCTGTCTTTTGAGGGGTTTTCCCATAACTTGAGGCTTTTATTTGCCTTGTTTTTTCCATCAGAACAAAGAGATGGTCTCTCGTACGGGACTCCCCCATAGTAAAGCCAAGTTAAAGGTTCCCAAAACAAAAGGTATCACGACTAAGTCTTAGTCTCTGGGTGACAGGTGGAGGGAGGTGCTTCTGAGGGAGAGGCTTTAATCCTGATGATACCCATCTGCCAGCAAGCAGGTAGCTGAAGCAGCCACCAGTTGGAAGGCTTTCAGCTGAGCCCAATGACACCTTGTAGGGGCTGCCTAGTCTTTTCAGGTTTTCCATTTTCTGCAGCCAATTAAGCCGACTGTGCTCTTTCCCCATGGGGCCCAGTGTGCAATGGCTGCGAACAGCAGCCTCCTTGGTAGTGTATGCAGCCTGTTGGTTGTATGGGTTGCCCTAAGGGACCTTGGAGACAGTTTTGTTCCAGTGGACATTGAGGGTTGGCCTCATGCTTTCTCCAATTTAGGCTCCAGACAGGTATGCGGGGTGCCTTTGGAAAGCCCCAGGG